GCAGGTGCCCAGGCCGGCACCACAAGCTTGGCCGGCTGCTTCATCATCATTTAGGTCGAGCATGGACTTGGGGTCCCTGCTGCCGCTGAGCAATGAGAATTTGCACCACACGGTTTTCCTTCAGTGGAAAAAGGGACGGTTGAGACTTTGGGTGTGTTTTTAAACCAACGCGTCAGAAACTGAGCGGGCATGCCAGCCCCTGGGGGCCACGCACACCCTGGTTCTGAAGCTCTGGGCGGGGCCCGGGCGTGCGCGTTTCTGCCCCCCTTCCCGCTGCTGCCGCCACCGCTCATCTGCAAACCACACTTGCGGGTATCGAGGGGCTAAAAGATATGAATTCTGATCCCAACGCCGCGGCGAACTCTCTGTGGCCCCTTAGACCAGTCTCTTGCCCTCCCTGAGACTCAGTTTCTTTCCTTGGAAAATGGGGGCATTGCCTTCCATCTGGAACATTCTCCGAAGAATAAAAAACAGGAGCAAAGTTGTCATTTTCTGTGTGCATGTCAGAGAGCCACAGGCATCTGCCGGGCTGAGGGATTTGCTCCCAAAGCTCCCGGGAGCCCACGGGCAGGTGCTGGGGGAAGCAGAGGTCGTCCCAAGCCCTGGCACAAAATGCAGAAAGAGGAGGCCGGCCGTGGCTCGGCCTGAGAGAAGCGGCGGGAGAGGCTCCCGTTCATCACAGAAATGGCCCATTTGCAATGATCGGTTGCCCAGGTGTTAATAACGCTAATGGCATAGGAAGGGTAAACTCGGTCACTTGGCTGAACAGAAGAAATATGCAGAGAAGAGCTCGGGTTTCCATAAATCAGCCGTGTGTGGAGCTACGAGGGAGGCAGGACTTAAAATTCTGGTCAGGAGATGGGTATTCTCATAATCCGAGCTGGAGAGGTAATTTATTCTGTTTATATCTTTTTACTGCACGACAAGGCTTGGGAGCGGGAGCCCTCCGCAGCCATTCTGCATTTTAAATATTAGTCCTAAGCACAGTGGGTCAGCTCTCATGCTCTGCGGGGTGTTTATTTCAGGACAGGAGGACAGGCATGGGGACGGGGATGGAGTGGATGACGGGGGGTGGGGTGGGCAGAACCCACGTGGTTTCACTGTCCAGTGCTGGTCAGAATTACAGCCTAGGGGCGGGGAGGGGGAGGCAACGTCCCCTTGTCCCCAGAGCTGGAGGTCACAGCCAGGGGCTGGTTAGCCTCCTTACCTGCATCCTTCGAATTTTTTTTTCCTCTCAGAAATCTTTTATTTTTAAATGATAATAAATACAGGTGATGAAGCGATAGAGATGAACAGATACATTAATGGAGGAGGAAAGGGATGAGGAGGGAGGGAGGGAGAAAGAAACAAGGGCGAGCACGGAGAAGGGGAAGTCCTTCTGTCTTTTGACCTTGGCAATTTTCATTAGGCTCTTTGCCCTTCTGGCTGGCTTTGTTTAACCCAGGAGGGTGGTTTAAACACAATCCAGAGAGGGTGCTGGCAGTCAGAATTAGCCTTCATTAGACCCTTTCCTAAATGATCTCTTTCCATGGCAGCTGGAGAGCATTCATTTCATTCATTCATTGATTCACTCATTGATTCATTCATTCATCCATCTATGCAGTGACTGGACACAGAAAGAGGCTTTACCTGTGTCAGGCTCTGTCCTGGGACCAGGGGCAACGCGGGCCCTGGAAGCACGTGGTCTTGATTTAACACCTGGCTCTGCTCCTCCCCGGCTCCGTGGCCCCAGGGAGCTCACTTCACTTCTTGGGCCTCAGTCTGCTCATCTGCAAGTTGGGAATGACGTCACTCCTCCTGAAGGGGCGTTGTGAGGGCTGAACTGGACTCTGGACAAAGCGGCGGGGCAGTGGCCCCGCAGGTCTGGAGGCATCGGAATCACCTGGGGAGCTTGGCCCACGTGAAGCCTCTTGGTCGCACAGCAGACAGCGACTGCAGCCGTGGGCTGCAGGCCCGGGCGTCGGCACGCTTCACAAGCACCCCCTCTAACTGCACTTCGAGAGATGGCTGTGGGCGTCCAGGGACTGAGATCCCCTCCTGACGCTCCCCCTTCCCCACTCACCCTTCCTTAGGAACTGCCTCCCTAACTAAGTGCTCTCAGTGTCCTGACTGACAGCTGCCATGGGCGGGGTGGGTGGGACGTCTCCTTCCCGAGCCCCTGGGCCCAGCAGGCACTTGGGAAGATGAGATGAGCTCCCAGGAGTGGGGGCGACTTTGAGCTGATTTGGACAAGGGGCCCCCTCTCTTCGCTTGTCATCCTTCAAGGAAACTGGGGTGTGTGCGTGCGCACACCTGCCTGGGTGAGGGTGGGAGTGGGGATGGGACCCCCGGCCTTGATTTCCTGAACCTTGGCTGCAGGTTCAATGATGGGTGAAAGGCCGCCATGAGCCCGTTCCACAGCGGAGCGAACCAAGGCTCGGAAAGGTGATGATGCCACCAGCTAGATGGTCTCCAGGACCCCAAGTCCCTGCCACCGTCCTCCTCCCAGGTGACTTCTGCTCCCAACCCCTGACCCTTGTGAGTGCCCAGACGAAGGGCCCATGGGGAGTTGGCCCCACATACCGATCATGACCCCAGACCTGAGCCTCCCTCCTGAAATCTGGCTTCTGGAGCCACCCTCTGAGGCTTTATGCCCCCGCCCCCAGGGTCATTCAAGTGTCCCCTGACAGGAGAGTGGGCCTCTCCCCTCTCATTTCTCCCAGACTGAAGCTGGGGCGTGTGACAGGCACTGCGTGCTCAGTGTCTGTGGGTGCACCACCTCTTGTTTTAAAATGAAAAAACAGAAAAAAAAACCCCCACAAAATCGCAGTCGGGAAGGAAAAGCATCAGCTTCATTACCACAGCGCTTGAGACCTGGGGTGATTCCATTTCCTTCCTTTTGTTTATCTGAGATTTCTAAATTTTCCACAATGAGCAAGTAGCATTTGTTGGATACAGATGAAGGCACAATGAGGAAAGAAACGAGAAAGCCAGGCCACCTTGCGTTCTTCCTGCAAGACCATGTGAAAGAAAACAGAAGAGCAGGGCTCTTGGCGTGTGCGCGTTCCATGGGGGCCCTCCTCTCCCGGTCTCCCGACCCCCTTCCTTTCACTGCTGCCACTAAAGTGGGCAAGACCCCCACCCCAAGCGGGGGTGAAAGGGATCCAAACGCAGGGCACACGCCCACTTAGTTTTATCACCTTCATCCGCACTGAGTGAGAAGGGAATGTGGGGAGTGCTCTTTCTCATCCCTTTTGTGAGTAGGGAAACTGAGGCAGAGAGGGAGGGACTTGCCTTTAGGAAGTGGCCCTGGGCCCCTCACGCCCACCTAGTACCCTTTCTGTCAAGCTGACTCACCGAAGCGAGAGCGCTCACTGCGGAACAGCAGAGCGGCCGCGCCCCGTTCCCTGGGGCACGTCCGTCCTCATACAGCCTTGCAGGTAACGAGCCTCTTACCAGCCTGCTGTTTCTTCTTTTCTCTAATTTTTATTTTATTTATTTTTGCCACCTCGAATTGCATGGGGCATAATTAAGAGTGAAGCTCGAATTTTTTTTTTTGTTTTTTGACACGCGGGAGACAAACACATCGCACATCCATTCATTCATCAAATATTTTGAAGGCTTACAACGTGCCAGGCAGTTCTGTGACAGATCGGCGGGGTACAGAAAGCTGGGGAGGTTGGGCCGGCCCACGGTAGCTGTCAAAAAAAAAACAACGGCAGCCACCTTCATTGCCTGAGGGTTTGCAAAGGAGCTCCTCACTTCCACAAGGGGAGGTCTTTGCGCCAGTCAAGTCTGTTTTGTGTTAGAAACAAGAACTAGAGAAAAGAATGGTTCCCATTCACGCTGAGCAGCTATGAAGACAGACGGAAAAAAAAAAAAAAAAAAAAAAAGGAAAGAAGAGAAAATCACGCGGCACTGAGGGAAAAAAGAATTTTTTTATTAATCTTTCTTTTTAGAAAAGTTGATTTTTTGTTTTTTTGTGATTTTTTTTTAGGTAAACCTCTTTCTGCTTCCCCTCCCTCACTCTGCCCGCCCTCCTCTTAAAAATATAAAAATGTTCAGCCCCAGATAACTAGAGTACAATAAATAAACAGTAAACACAAAAACATACTTTATTTGTTTCTTCTTTATACAAAATAAGGAAACTAGAAGCGTCCAACTTCCAAAAAAGTATAATACTGTACATCCTGACGATCCAGCCTCCAGGCCCCGGGTCTGCGGGCCGGAGCCCAGAAATCTGGGCGCCTTGCCCAAGGGGAGAGCAGGACGGGTGAGTGTTCGAGGCTGGCCTGGGCCTCCGCGCTCCAAATCAAAGTCAACGGGAGGAAGGAGGGGCTGGCCTGGCCCGGGGCCGCCCAATGTTCAGACCGCCCCACCTTCCTGGCAAAGCTGACCTTGAGCCTCAAGATTGGCCACCAGGGGGCGCCCGCGTGCAGGTGGCGCTGTCTTCCTCCCGCGACACCCCCGTTCAAGCGCGTTTATCGCTCGCTCTCTCTCCATCTTCTCGGGCGGGCGCTCTCTCCATCTCTCCTCTCTTCCTCCTTTTGCTCCCTTTCCTCTCTCTCCCTCTAATCTTTCTCTTTTCTTTACCATCTCGTTTGAAAGACGGGGAAAGCAGAGTGAGAAATAAGATGACAAAAATGCCACTCGGATTGCAGGGGGTGGGGGGATTCGTCTCCGCCCCTGGGCCTCGACCCCCTCTTGGTCCAAAAAGGTGGTGGGTGGGGGTCGCGGGAAGTTTAGAGCGCGCTTGAGATCTCTTGACCCTCTGCAGGACTGACTTTGGTCCCAAGACATGGCTCGCGGCGGCCAGGAGAGCGCTGGCGGAGGGCTGAGGGTCCCCGAGAGCCCGCGGGGTGGCGGTAGGGGTCGTCCCCCCTCCGCTGCGCAGCCGAGCAGCCGCCGGTCGAGTGCGGCCCCGTGAGAGAACCCCTGCGGGAGCCCCAGGCCGCGGGCCGCGTCGGGCGTTTTGGTTTGGGGAGGCTGCGTCCTTGGGTGCGCGGCCCGGCCCGGTGGCCTTACCACACAGCGGCCTCGTTGAGCTCGGGGTTGGGGTGCGACAGGGGTCCGCTGTAGCCGCTGGCGCCGCTCATGGGGAAGGGCGGGCTGGGTCCCCCGCTGAACACTTCGCCAGGCAGGGGGTGCAGCGCACCCGGCAGGCCCGGCTCGGGGCTCGGCGTGTCCGGGTGCGAGATCATGTCGGTGAACCTGGGGTTATCAGCGGCGTGCGGCCCGGCCAGCGGCGGCTCCAGGGCGCCCAGCGGCGTCGAGCCGGGCCCCGAGGCGGCCAGGAAACTCGAGTCGGCCGGGGACTGCGCCTGCGACGGCGGACCGTGCGCGAAGAAGTCGTAGTTGCCTCCTGGCGCGTAGTAGTCGCCTTGGTAGTCTGCGGAGGGGGCGGGAGGAGACAGGGACAGGTGAGAAATAGGGGGCGTCGGGAGGGACTGGCAGGACTGGGGACTGGGACCCCGGAGACGATTGCCAGGGACGGGCAAGCCTGGTTGGAGCCTCATGGAGAGGACTTTAATGCGGGACACTGCCTCGAGGTTAGAGACCCGCGGAAAGGTCTGCGGAGACCAACAGAGAGGGAAGCCCCCAGAAGCCGCGGAGCCGCAGATCCAGGGGTCAAACTGGGGAGAGAGGCAGTGACAGACAACGAAAAGGGAGAGACTTAAACTTAGGGGAGACACAGTCAGAGAGATGAGGACTTCAGTCTGACGGTCCCTGACTCATGGAGATGGAAAGGGATGTGGCCGCTGAGACGCAGGGACAGGGTCAGAGTTGGTGAGAGAGATGCACGGAGCGAGAGATGCGGAACCTGCGAGAGCCAGGGACGGTGAGAGATCAGCAGAGGACAGAGTGAAAGGGGACTGCAGAGGGGACCGAGCGGCGAGCCCCCAGAGTCAGAAAGACAGGGTGCAAGGCAAGAGACCCAGAGACAGGGCTGCGGACAGACTGGGGGTCGAGTAAGATGGACAATCTAGGACATGCCAAGAGAAAACGGCGAGAGGGTTGTGGTTAGAGCACACGCGGAAACCCAGAACAAGGTGAGAGGTCAGGAGAGACAGATGCGCCCAGAGACGGGGAGATGTGTCCAGAGAAAGCCCGAGACACGGAGGTTGAGAGGCGGGGAGAGGAGCAAGGTGGGGGTGCAGGGCCACCGCAGACCAGAGTGCGAAATGGTTGAGACCCAGCAGCGGCAACCAGGCCGGGGAGAAGCAGGAGCCCGGCATCTGGCGGAGCGGGAAGGGGCGGGCTCAGCAGGCCGGCCGTCTGCCTCTGCACCCCAACCCTGTGTCCGCCCAGGCGGATGCCATTGTGCGGCCGTTTGCACCCATGGCGCCTGGCCTGGAACCCAGAAAGCTGAGCCCCAGCGACTTGGGAGACCAGGAAGGACTGGAGTATTCTCTGGGTTATGTCTAGAGTTCCAGGGAAGCGCTGGGATAAAGGCTGGGTGCTCCAGACTCCCTCTGGGGTGGGTTGGCCAGGACCCCCAAGTTCTGAAGCATTTGGGAGAATCTGGTGATAGTTCTGGGCTCTCCAGAAAAATGCACAAATGTGCGTTTTGCCCACAAACTCAGGAGACACGGGGGCTCCAGCTTACAAGCCTGCCCATTCTCAACAAATTGTTTCTGATCGTCCCTCAAGGCCTCCTCCCCCAGGTCCTCCCCTCCACCCAGGCCAGCCCCTGAAAGATTGGGGTGTGGCACCCCATGAAAGGAGCACCTTGTAGCCCCATACTGGCGACAATAACCCGCTTTGTACGGCGGGAAAACCAGCGCACCCGGTGGCTGGAGTCTGCTTAGCAAGCCCACAACCCCTGCCTAGTCTTGGGGTCTCAGTGCCCCTGCGAGTTCCGGCTGCTCTCTGACGCCCCCTCCCCTCACCAAACCCTGAAATCAGTCCAAATGGAGGTGTCTAGAGGTGAGGCTTGGACATGATTTAGGAAACAGCTAAAAACGGCCGCCAATTACTTTTTCAGAACCACTCATTCCATTCTCGCAGAATCTGAAGCAAAAGGTTGGAAGCGTGAATATGGGGCCCCTAAGGGACTGGGATGGGGGCCGGGCGGACCCGCAGCGAGCCGGTCAGCCGGCGAGGACTGCGGCCCCCGCGCGGAGCGCGCCGCCTCCGCCCATATGGCGGCCGGGCCGGAGGTAATTGGAACAAACGCCGTCTGAAAAGGGCACAAAAGCCGCAGCTGGGGCTTTGTCCGCGCTCCCACGGGGAGCCGCCGGCCCGCCGCCCAGCCCCTTTCTCGCCCGCTGCCGGCCGCCGCCGTCGGGATCTCCCAGCGCGGATTAGGCGGGGCCGCCTCACTGGGGCTGGGGGGTCCTGTCCCCCATTCCGAGGGAAGAGGGGCCCGGCATGTCCAGGTCCCCACCCCAGCCAGCAGACGCCCGGTCAAGGGAGGCGGCGGGATGGGCGGGGGCTCCCTGTCCTCGGGAAGCCTTGGCTAATTATCCAGGCGGGGGAAAATTCCCGACTGGTCCCGCCCCACCACCTCCCTGCACCTGCCGAGATTTTGTGCGGAAGGAGACAAAGTTAGGTGGGGAGGGTCCCTGAGTGGGGAGGCCAGGACGGTCCACCATCCGAGCTGTCCTGGGCGTCTGTAGCCCCCCAGCCTGGGCCCTGATATCGCAGAGTCTCTCCCCCAAGGCACAGCCACGGATTTGGTCCACAACTGGGGACCCTGGCCAGACCGGAAGGTCTAGCCTCCCAGGTCTGTGAATGTATGAAAGCCGGTACCTACTTCGCTGCGTCTGCCTGTGCGCCCGGCGCGCGGCCCTCGCCCCCTGCCGCATTGCCATCAAACCCACGTCTCTAACAGTAGACGCCTTTTCCCCAACCTGAACTACTAGCCCCCCAACCCCCGCAGGCCTCGGCGCTGGGCAACTCAAAGAAGACACCCCTGTCCGTCATGAGCGCTCCTGGGGGTTCCCCAAATTCAGAGGCACAGGAACAGAGCGGGTGGTGCCTTCCTTGAGCCCAGGAGTCTGGGAAGCGGAGGGTGGTGGGCCAAGGTTGCAAGGGGGGAGTCTTCAAAAGCCTTGGCAGGGGGGGGGCGCGGGGGGGGGGACCTGGAATGGGTCTTTGCCAAGCAAGTGGGAGGAAATGAGGGGGTGGGAAGGAAAGGAGGAGGGAAGAGGGATGGAGGGAGGGAAGAGGAAAGTTCACCGCGGCCTGAGCCGGAGAACCTCAGTCACAGAGTTGCTCTTTGCAAACTCCCACTACCTGTGCCCACAGCCCCAAAGACGGTCGGTGGATAACTGAGTAGCTGGGTTGGCCCAACCCTTGAGCCCGCAGCCCCCACGAAACACTGGTCTGCTTGGGGCTCGAGAGTGCGCTTGAGTCCTCCCCAGAGCAGCTGCCCGCGTCTGGGTTACCAGCGCCAGATGCCGTGTGCACAGGCCCCGCAGCCGTGGAACCCGAGTGCGCGCCTTGGATGCTAGGAAGCGGGCTGAGGGGGATACATCCTGATCCCTCCGCCCCCCCCACCCGCCCCGCTACCTTCTCCCCCCACCCCTCGCCCCCAGCACTGCCCTCCCGGGCCAGAGTTCCTGCTAGTGTCAAGCACACCAGGCTCGGCGGGGGCAGGAGGGAGGCTGCGTGTCTGCCTGGGGCAGCACGCTTGTGGATTTGTGAGTGCCCACCTTGGTATGATGGGGGGGAGTGTGTACGCCTGTGGATCTCTCCGGGTGTATTTGTCAGTTAGTGTATCCAGGGTAGAGTATACCTGTGTGTAGTCATGTGTGATCCTGTGCCTAGATTTGCATCCCTGAGGTCTTTGAACTCCGGTGTGTGTGCGAGGGAGGGGCCCCCTGTTCTGTGTGGGTGTGTATCACAGCTTGTCAGAGGTGCTGATAGTGTGTATTACTGTATGGGCGAGTGAACCCATGTGTTTGGTTTTGCATCCAGGAAGTATCCGTGGGGGGTGTGTGTTAAGGTGTGTCCATTATTGTCCTGCACATCCAGAGAGGAGGGAGGGAGGGGGTCCCCCGGCAGCTGAGGGCTGGGGATTGGTTCTGCACCCTCGGCCCCCAGAAACCGTGAGGGCCTCAGTGTAGGGCACAGCATCCCGAGGCCCCTTACCTCCATAGTAGGTGTATGGAGTGGACCCCAACATTTCAGACTCGTCTAAGCGGCCACCCAGCGGACGCATGCGCCTCGGACTCCGGAAGAAGGCGTGTCTCCGGGCCCCCAGTGCGCTCAGCTGCTTCATCCTGCGTTCCTTGGACCGGCGGTTCTGGAACCACACCTGGGACAGAGGAGGGGGCTGTGAGCTCTGTTGGGGGTGTCCTCTCCCTGCCTGGGCTTCCCCTCTGGGTCCTAGTGCCTTCTTCCTCCAAGACTGCCCCACGGGCAGGGCGGGGGGCGGGGGGGGGGTGGCCGGATTAGGCCAGAGGGGTGGAGAGGGGCCTCGGTGAACCAGCCAAGGGTGAAGGATTTCGCGGACCCTTGGGGCGACTCATAAAGACTTGGGCTTCCTGGTCCTCACCCGCCCTCGGCCTGATGGCTTTATAAAGGCCTCCCGCCCGGCCTGGCTCTGGATTGGGCCCCTTGGCTTCCCAGCCAGATTCTGGCCGGTTGTCTGTCTGTCTGCCCCAGCACTGGAGCAGGGAGGAGGCACGTGAGGAACACCGCCTCCCTCTCTGCTCAGTGGATGAGAGGAATGGAGCGGTCTGTCCCCCAGCAAGGCTTAAAACCCTGCGAATGGTCAGGGAAGAGATTCAGAGAGGCGAAGGGACTAGTGATTTTGGCTAAGAGTTTGACGAGCTGGCCCCGACCTAGAGTGCACCATCTGTCCCTTGACCCGAAATCGAAATCGGCACAAAGCGGGGAGCGATGCTTCTCCGAGCTTCCCGGCGCCAGGACACTGTGGGGCCGGGCAGGGGGCGTGGTGACCCGGGCTGGGCCGCACCTGGATGACACGCATGTTGAGACCGGTCTCCTGCGCCAGCTGCTCGCGGATGTGGCGCGTGGGCTTGGGTGTGGCGGCGAAGGCGGCCTTGAGCGTCTCCAGCTGCTTGGCTTTGATGGTGGTGCGCGGGCCGCGCCGCTTGGTGCCCGAGTTCTGCTCCTCGTTCTCATTGTTGGCTGTCTCCTTGTCCGATGACGTGGAGTTGTCGGTCTCCTTGGGGTCGTCCTGGAGCGGGTCCTGGAGGTCCGGGGACAAACTGCGGTCTGTACAGGATGACACTGCAGGCGGACGGAATGGGAAGGGGGCAGCAGCGTGAGCGGGGAGCCCCAGCCCACTCCGATCGGGGAGCCGGTCTGGCTGGCCCAGGCCACCGCCGGGCAGCAGGGTTCGCTCCCAAACCAGGCGACAGCCCCTCCCCCAGGGGCCCGGAGCCGCCCACTCTCTCAGGCAGGCGGGGCCTTTGGAGGGGCCCTTCTCAGCCCTTTTCTCCTATCGCCTGGGTGACGGAGGCGCGCTGTCTGGAGAGCCAGGCCTTCTTGGAAGGGGAGAGGGGACCAAAGGAGGGTAGAGATGCCCTCCAGGCCTCCGATCTTCCTTTCCCTTCTCTCCTTCCAATTAGTGTCCTCCCAGCACAGGTAGAAATGACCAGGAGCTCAAAAGAGGAAAGGGAAATAGCGCAGTTCCAAATTGGGCAAGGCAGCAACTTGGAAAGGCCCCTGAATTGGAGGAGGGCAGGGAAGAGCTGGTGTTCTGGTGTCCGGTGGGACCGGCTGGGGCGCCGTGTCTCTCCCCTCGCACCAAGCCCCGGTCTTGCCCTAGACCCGCCTGGTGGGTGACCGGGAGTGGAGAGCTCTGCATGGGCACAGGAAACGCACGGGGGGCACAGCAGAGAGCGCCAGGCTGGGCCAGGCAGGAGGAGCAGAGGCCCCCCTACCTGAGTTGAGGCTTCCCTCCTTGAGGCTGGACGAGCTCAGGTAGTCGTCCTTGCATACGAACTTGTTCTCGTCGATGACGTAGAGCTCCTCGCCCGTGGACAGCTGCTTGTTGCACACCATGCAGGTGAAGCAGTTGAGGTGGAAGACTTTGCTGCGGGCCTTGCGCACCAGGTCGCTGGGCGAGATGCCTTGTGCACAGCCCGCACACTTCGTGCCGAAGCGCCTGCAGACACAGCACAGCCTGTCACCGGGCAGCCTGCGGTCCCATGCTCTCCAGCCCCTCACCTCTCCCACTCTCCCTAGCTTCCAAGAAGTCTCCATATCCACATCTGTCCGATGAGACTCCAATCTGGAGCTCCCTGGCTGAGCGCAAGTGAGACAAATGTCCTCGGCTGTTCCTGGGACTGGGCCCGGCAGGCCTCCTTCAGCTTTCTTTGGACCCCGCTGGGCTTAGAGCCCTCTTACGTGCTCCTCGAGCCCCCATGTCCATCGGGGATGCTCAAGGCGAACTTGCCTCTCCAGGGCACGCAGGCTTTTAAGCCGGCCAGGCAGGGTTTGGACCACTGCTTGGCTTGGCTTCCTGGATCCTTTCCAGTTCGCTGGGGCCCAGGAAGGACCAATCGGCCTAACTGGCAGGTTCCAGAGACGGGGCAGGGAGCCCCTCTCCTGGCCTGGCCCTGAGCAGAGAGGAGGGAGCCTTCTGCTGCTTCCCAGCACCACCAGCGCTGGAGGCTTTCAGTCCCCACTTTGGGACACACCAGAGCTAGTCAGGAGCCTGTGGACAGCAGGGCCCCGGAACAGTGGACTCTGAGAAGTAGGGACCAGACCGAGCCTCCGGCCCTCCCCAAAACCTCTGGCCCTAGCAGGCAGCGGGCAAACGGGACCAGAAGCCAGTCCTGCCCCTGCAAGACCAGCGTGCGGACCGCTCACATCCTCCCTCCCCCATGTTCCTGGTCTAAATCCTTTTCTTTTTTTCCCCTCAAGCGCAGGGAGAAGGCCAGGCTGCTCAGGGTGGGTGGTGCGGGCGAGCACTGATGGGGTGAGGTGCAGGCTGGGGGAGGGAGAGCACCCAGGACTTTGGGGTCCCACCTCTTCTCACACCCAGGTCTCTAAACAGGGTGAATTTGGGTGACGTTGATGTAGTGAGGGCATTAGAAGCCATAAGTCACTTTTGGCCTTATCCGGCAAGCATAATTGGCCATATGTACCTTATCAAAAATCATTAGGCGCTTTGCAAGCATTGCCACATTAGGGACCTTGGTTCCCTGGGCCGGGGAGTTTACACGTGTTGAGGCGCCGCTGACATTTTCTCCTATTCAAATCCGCCAGTGCCGAGCCGCCGGGGCGGGCGAGCTGCCTTGCCCCTGGGTGTTATCACGCCCCCCTTCCCAGGCGCCGGAATTCGCACTCACAAAGCCCGCTGGCTGGCGCTGGGTGGAAGCCCGCAGGGCTGAGCTGCCGAAAACCCCATAGTCTCCCAGGTCACATTTCGGCATCCGGGGAAACTGAGGCTCGGAGAAGTGACCATCCCTGGCCTGCCTCCTGTGGGCAGCAAGGGGAGGTGACACAGCCCAGGCTAGACCCTCAGGGTCCTAATTCTCCGCTTGGATTTCGTGGCTACTTTTCAACATGGGAGAAAATATTTAAAGAGCTGGGGTGAGGGCAAGAGGAGGTAAAGGTTCCCTCCCCCCAACATCAGAAGAAACCGTCCTGGCTGAGCCCCTTCTGGAGCGGGGAAGTTTGTGTTTGTTCAGGAGGGATCTGAGAACCTGGCTTGCCCTGCCAGAAGGGCCACCTCCGGGGAAATGCACTCTCCTGGTGGGAGAAGCCTCCAGTCACCCCTAACTTTGCAAAAATCTTTCCTCTCTCAGAATCGGGCTTGAAGCTGGCACCCTGGAATTGCGGCCGCGGCGGAGGGGCAGAAGCGGGTGGGGAACAAGTTTGTCAGGGCTCGCCCCCCTCCCCCGCACCTCCGATCCAAGCCGGCCTGGAGGAGCAGCCGGGAGGCGGAGCAGCAGCTTCCTTTTTGCTCCGCCTGGGCTCGGGCCCTTTCCTTGCCCAAGGACAGGGGAGAGCAGTGCGCTGTCCCACTCCCATTTTGAGCTGGTGCGCCCGGGAGGCTGGGATGGGTTCGTGGTTTCCCCTTCCCCCGCGCCCCAGCGGAGCGTGCGCGAGTCGGGCGCACAGGCTGCACGGCCTCTTCTTACCTGAAGAAGTCATTTTTGCAGTAGAGCTTGCCCTCACGCGAGAAGCACTTCTCCGAGAGGTTGGTCTTGCACTCGCAGCACTGAACGCATTTGATGTGCCACGCGCGGTCCAGCACGTTCAGCAGAAAGCGGTCGAGGATGGGCCGCTCGCAGCCGGCACAGTGCACCATCATAGCCCCGCGCCCCGGCGGCTCGGGCCGCCTTGCCCTCCCTCTGGGCCCCTGGCCCTCGGGCCCCCGGGCCCGCCGCTGCGCTCCGCCTCTCCTCTGGGCCGCTGCCGGGCGAGTCCGGTCCGGACCTAGACTCAGCCGGTCAAGTCCTTGGGTGATCGCTGGCCTGGCGCTGGGCCGCCCGGGGTGGGGTGGGGAGTGGTGGCGTTCACAGCCTCATGCCCCGGGCCGCGCGCCCCAGCGCTTGGTACGAGCTTCCCCAGGTATCTTGGGTGGCTGCTGGCCTCGGCGCTGCTGAGCGGCTTTCCCCGGTGGCGGAGGCGCCGGCACTTTCCCCCACTTTCAAGCGGTCCAGATCCTCATCTTTGTCTGGCCGCCGCCTAATTCGCGCATCCTTATTCAGATTTGGTGACGTGGCGCGGCACGTAGGGGGCCCGCCGGCCAATGGGTGCGCGGTGGCCATGGCAACCTCTTAAATTTATAGCATATCTAAATTGGCTACAGCGTTGCGGTCCGGACAGAGCAAAAAAAACAAGGCATCCGTATTGTTGAGTATTAGCTTGTACCTGGTTCGGAGGCGAAGTAAGTATTTACCTTACAGTTGGGGGCTGGGGGCTGAGGGCCGCCTGATCTGAAAACTGCTTCTCTTTTCCTCTCTCTCTCTCCCCTCACAAGTATTTGGGGGCCAGGATTCCTGGGCCTAGTGGGGGAGGGACCCCTACCCCCTTCGCCATCCCGGGAACTTGAAGAAGTTGCCCGAGGGCCGAGGGCCGCAGCGTGCTCTACACCCGCTTTCTCTTTTCCCAGCCCAGCCCGCGCAGATTAGAGTCCCGGTGCCCCGAGCGTCCCTGGGGTCTGCGCCTTGGAGCTGCGACAGAGCAGTTCAAGGGGCTCCCAGCGCTGGGCTAGCTTCTTTTGTCATACGTGGGGCTAGGGCCCAGGCGGCCTTGGGGGGCGGGGAAGGGGGGAGAGAGAGAGGGAGGGAGAGAGAGAATATGAATGGAGGTCATTAGGCTTTCATATCTTTCCCCCTAAACAGGCCCAGGTCTAGGTTGGTGGGGGTGGGAATGTCGGGGGCGGGGATGGAGGGTGCGGGGCATGTTGTCTGTCCTGGTCCAGGACCCTGGAATTTCAGGTCTGAGTCCGTTGCCCACGGGGCTCCGGAAGAGATGGGGGGTGGGGGTACAGGGCTGAGGGGTCTTCCCCACGCCAGCTCAGGTGGCATCACCATGTCTCTCTTTTCCTTGCTGCACTTTCAAGATCCCGGGTCAGCCGGTCCGGGCCACCTCACCAAGGAGGCGGGGAATGCTAGCAATTGAGTGGACGCTGCTTGCACATGCGGGGCGTGTGAGATGGGTGTGCAAGATGGGTGTGCAAGTTTGAGCTCTCACAGGGCATGGGGAAGAAACGCTGGCAAGGAGCCAAGGGTCTGGGGGAGTGTGTGGGGTTCCCTCAGGTGTGTGTGGAGCAGCGTGTGAGTGGGGGTCGCAGGGGGAAGAAGGGAGAGAGGGTCAGGCCTCTTTTCCAAGGGGCGAACCGGCGGCTAGGCGCTCCAATTTAGGAAGGCCCGGAAGGCCGGCGGGGATTTTCCATCCTGCTCGCTCTTGGAAGCCGGTTGCCGGCTGCCGGCTGCCGGGGAAGGTAGGCCTTGGGCCCAATGGCCGGAGCCAGAGGAGTGTGTTTGCGCAGACTTGGCTGTGCACGTGTGTTCAGGGGCATTTACCGAGTTTGTGAATGTATACTTGAGAATCGCGTTGTTGCCTCTGTTGATAGTAATCCAGCATGTGAGCGCAGTTGGGTATGTGTGTTTTTGTCTGCACTCGTGTTGATATCTGTGTATGGTTCTGCTCATGGTTGTGTGTATCAGTCTATGCACTCGTTTGTGTTGATCTGTGTATATGCTTACCTGCGGCCACATGAATGTGTGGGGTGCTGGTGTGTGTGACTGCGTTTGTGGAAGGTTCTTTGTGTACACGTGTGCTAACATCAATGTGAAAAAAGACTTTTAAAAATCTGAATGTGTGTGTTTGGGTGTAGGTAAGTGTGTGTGTGTGTGGCTGAGTCAGGCTGGGTGTGTTTGTAAGAGCAGAATTTTGCGGATCTGGGTTGTGGGCCACCTCCATGTGTGCCACACGGGCGGGTACTGGTGTGTATAGCAGTATTTTTGTTTTGAGACTCCTGTAGGATTTTTTTGGGGGGGGGTAAGATTTGTGTGTATGCTCCTGGCAGCACTGTGCATTTGTGGATTTACAGGGGGGCCGGGTTGTGGATGCCTCCATGGGTAGGAGCACAGAGACCCTCTTTCCCCGTCCCTGTCCAGGCCTGGCGCTGTCCCCCGGGCTCTCAGGGAGGTCGTCCCGCTGGGTGCAGGGAACCGACAGATGCGGGTGCCGGGTGGGGCACTGGCGCCCTGAGCGGGACCTCCGCAAGGGAGTCCCCAGACCAGCAGCGTCTGCCTGGCGGTGCTACTCCTCCGTCCTCCTTCCTTCCGAGGCACAGGTCTCCATGTAGCACAGCAGCGTGGCTGCTTCCAGCCACGCTTGGCCAGGAGCAAGAGGGGTGGATCCTGCCTGGTCACCAGGCTCAGCTGGTAGAGGTCCAGGGGCCCCACAGGAAATTGCCGTGTCTGGCAGTGCCTGGCCCTGCCTCCTGGGGCATGAAGGGCCCTTGAGAGAAACAAGGACCAGAGAGGAAAGGAGAGAGGAGCCAGGCGCGCCTGCCGTGGGGGCGAATCGCCCTGTCTACTCCGTCTTTGTCTCGCCGGGGTTTCCCTCTCTCTCCCGGGTTCTCTCACATATGTTTTCCTTTCCTCTTAGGTTCAGCCCCTGTTCTCTTTCTGTTTCCTTTTCCCTCTGTTTCTCCGTGACTTTTTTTCCTCGACTGTGCTCTGGTTTTATTTTCCTCTCTCTGCCTTTCCGCTGGACGTCCCCGTCCAGCCTCCAGTTTGTTGCAAGTAACAGTTCTCATCATGCCCTGTACAGATTTTGGGGTGCACGGGGGAACGACACACACGGTCATGAGATGCCTCCATCTGATGGCCTCTAGACTAGGCACACTGAGCCCATGGTTCCCAGCCCCCCACCGGGAGCCTGGAGAGCTGGCCTGCCCCTTCTTCCCAGCCCCCGCTTTGTCTGCCCTGCCGGCTGCCCACTGCCTGCATGCTGGCTCCACCACAGACAAACCCACCTGCGCTCACCTCCTGGGTGAGCTTAAATGCCAACGCACAGCCAGGCCCCGCACAGCGCCCGCGGCTGTGGTGCCAGGCTAGGAAGGTAACAGAAATAGGGGCAGGCTCAGAGCCCAGCTGGATGGCGTGAGTCACCCGGGCCGAGTGTCCCGTGGCCGGAGGTGAGGGTGGGCTCCTCTTACGGAAGCCCTGGTCTGACCTTCTGAATTTACCTAGCTTGTCCAGATCACAGCTGCCCCCCCCCCGCCCTTGCCCCGCTGGGGTCCTCAGCACAGCCCAGCCCCAATCCAGAAGATCCCTCGCCCCGGCCCAGTTGCAGGGGAGCCTGCCTGGCCTTCCCTTGCCCTCCACCTTCTAGGGCGCACAGCATCCGAAAAACGCCAGCAGACCAACTATTAGACGAATCATCCCGCCCTAACAGTGCTAACAGATGGCGACCAGGCAGCGAAATCCCCTCCTATATGTAACTAATAAACCGCTTGTGTCTTAACAGGGTAATGCATGGAGACACAATGTCACTTATACAAGATGTTGATGGAATTTACTATATAAAAATCTTCCTCCTAGAATAAAGAGTATCAACATTACAACTCGACAGACGGCGGCGGGATAAGTAAAACAGACAAAAGACAAACAAGATAATAATCTGTTTCCAATCACTTAAGCCCTGTAGAGTTAGTAGTAATACGCGGTTTGCATATTCCCCCTTGAGTTCGGTAATTAATTACCGGCGAGGAGGCACACATCCACCGGGGGCGGGCGGGGGTGGGGGTGTTCGAGGCGCGTTGAGCTGGGGATTGGGGGGCGCCTTTCTCGAGATTTCTCGGGGCACTGGGCAGAGGCCAGAGTGGGGACTCTTGCGGGCGTTCGGAGCTGACCTTCTCGCGGTTGAAGAGGACGTTTCAGTCGCGTCTCCCTACGCCGCCCCGGAAACGCTCCTGCCCAGGGGCTGCCGAAGCCAAGCAGAAACGCGGGCTTTTCCGGAGGTCAGAATAGTTCTCCTGTCCCCTCTCGAAGGCACCCCCTGAGCAGCCTGCTTTCTTAGGGAAGGTGCGCATCGAAGTGGGGGTGGTGGGAAGGGGAAACTGGGAGGCGTGCCCCGTCCTCTTCTCCCCGTGGTATCTTGGGCAGCTCAGCAGGTCCTACACTGACTTCGATTATTATTGCCCGCCCCCCTCCCCCCAGCACACATACTCTGCAACCCCTCCCCCCACCCCCTAAGAGCCAGCGCGGCTTTAACATTAAACAAACGCAGCGAGCGCCTCTGAGCTGCGCTCTCGGCCGGGTCTGTGCGGCGGCGGCGGCGGCGTTACAAATTGTAAATTTAAATTGCTCGCCGGATTCATTACCTCCCCTCTTTGATTTCAGCCAGCCGTGAAAAATTATACTGGTGTACCACTGAGAAACTGTTTTGCCGCAAAGAGCCCGCGCCTAATCACTGGCTTTCTCCCTCCGACAAAAGTGTAATTATTTTGTTTGGGGTGTAAATATAGGCCGCGCCGCGCACACACACTCAGCGTCCCGCCGCGCTGCCGCGCCCTGCCCGCCGCCGCCAGGATCCGCTCCGAGGAGGAACGGGCGTGGAGGCTGCCGCCCCGAGGCCGGAGAAGAGCGGCTCCTTTGGCATGACCTGGACCCCGAGAGCCGAGCCGTGAGGCCCGGTCCCCAGCCCCTGCCCTAGGCTGTTCGGCTTTGCTCGAGGACTCCAGATCCCCGCGCGCAAGCTGGCTCGGGTGGACCCCGGGGCTCAGGCCTAGGCATCCGCGCAGAGATGCCGAAGTGGTGGCGGAGGGCGGGGTTGGGGGCAGCCCCGAGT